ATCTTTTAAATGTCACAGTATCTTAATTTATTTAGAAATAATCTTCCCAACATGGTTTCACATCACCAGAATGATGTCCGTTGTGTTTACGTGCACATTTAAACAATTCTCCAAACAACCTCTGAAAATCTGATCCGCGCAGATGCACTCAGTGATTTTGTGACTAAAAGGTTCCAGTGCTGAGTGGCAGGGCTTCCAGAGACTTCCACTCACGAGACAAACGTCTCCTCCCTCGAGGACGGATTTGGACTCTGCCCCTCAGACAATCTGGCCGTCTTGTTTAGATTTCTGTCACCCTGCTTTTCATCCAGGGGAAGGAAAATTTGAGCTTAACATGAACACATCTTTCATCATGTGTCAGGATCAATTATCGCCCTTTGAGAAGCAGCAGCTCTTTTGAAGAAGTTTTTTTTTTTAGGGGACAGATGCGTGAAAACTCTGAAGTCAAAACACACATGTCTGGAAAGAGTCCTGCTCCCAGACGATCTTAATTGCTAATTTTGTGTGTTGTCTGCTGTACGCTGGGCACAGAAGCGACAGTTCAAAGAACATGTCCGTCATTTTATTACTGGCACGCAATCCGTTGGTGAAATGTCTTTTCATCACGAAAACGAACAATTGGTCATTTTCATGGGAACGTCTTTAGACTTAAAACCAACGATTGCTGCATCATAGCAGAACATTTCTCTCTTTATGTATTTTGCAGGCCACAGGGTCCTCTGCTCTCTCCGCTCTGTCACAATGAGGACAATCTGCCGTGTGGTTTAAAAGAAGAAAACTCCCAGGATATGAATCCTCTACAGAGAATAATCAGGCTTTCATTCCTCATTTGAATCAGTATAATGAAAGAATGAATGTGTTGATGGCTGCGTGCGTGCTGTGTGTGTTCAATGTAAATACCTATATGTTTTTCTGCCTGGAGCCAGGAGTATAAAACACAGGTATCTTGGGTACATCTGGACGTAGTGCACCAGATAAGACTTGAAATGCTGCTTTGAAGCTGGAAGATCTCTCGCTAAGATACAGAGTACATGATAGATGAAGCAAAGTTGAAATTGAAAGTGCGACTCACTCACCCTCCTGGCTGTTTTGATTAAGGTTGTGTGTGGAGTGTGCCTGCCGGAGATATTTGCCCAGACTAGGCCGGGGATTAAGGGCTTCTCTTCTGGGATCCAGAGAAAATAGAGGTCTGATCTCCTCCGTGTCCCTCAGCAGAGCAGGAGTGGGTGGCGACGGTGTTTGTGTGTGGAAACCAGCAGGTCAGCACGTGTGTGTGTGTGTGTGTGTACTTAATGACAAGTGTGCAGTCACATACTATGCATGCAAGTGGGTGTGATGGCGTGCACTTCAGGAAAAGATGTGCAAACGATTCCGCTCTCCCTGCTGCCCTCCTCTTCAAAGCGATCTCCCTGATCCCTTTACTTGATCATTTTACACGGCCTTTATGAAGCTCATGGCAGCTCACATGCAAGCAGGCGTACATGCACACACACATTCTCAGAACTGTGTTTTTCTAAAGCGCTGGCGGTTATCGTGCAGCCCACCCATCTTTCGCCGCACCTCTGTAACGTCCACGTGTGCAAAACCAGGCAGAGGGTTGCGTGTCTGGAGAGGGGGGTGTGGATGAGTGCAGGTTTTGGTAGCTTAGTTAGCGTTACAGCGGGTGCAAGCTAGCTAATTGTGTTAATGTGACTTAACACAGGTGCTCCTGCGTCTCCCTCTCTGTGTGTGTGTGTTTGTGAGGCTGAGTGACGCCACATCGATGGAATGAGTAAAAGAAGAAATCTGGGAATTTAAGAAGAAAGAAAAAAAGCACATCAAAGAGATTTCCAAGGCGACCAGAAATGCCTGTCTGTCTGCAGCGGCTCGCCCCACCCTCGAGAAAAGAAACCTACCACATGCTGTAAGCTGTTTTTCAAATCGATAGACTCCAAGTTTTCCCCAGGTCCGTGCCACCGATCCTGAGCTGAATGCTCCCTGACAGTGGCGGTCTGTGCGCTGTCCCGCAGCAGATGCATTTTCCCTTTCATAGTTAGCTGCCCTTCAGAGAATTCAGTGGGAGGATGAAAACTGTCTCTGTTTATTACTGTGAGTAACCAGTGGTGAGGAGGCCCCGCCGCCCCTCCCACCCTCAGCAAGGAATAACAAGCAAATTGAACAAGTCAACAAATGGACCTCAGCCTCTGCTCCCGAGACTCAGCGAAGGTTGTTTACGTCACGTTATTTCAGCGCGCCGAGGGCTAGCACGAATAAGCTTCGAGAATTTGTGGACTTTCGACGGGTTTCCTCCGCTCATCGTGATTCATCTGCTAAGTGCCTGTCAGTGCAATTTCTCAAGTCAGGCAGCAGACGGCAGGAGGACGAGGCCGAGGGATTCCTTCAGCAAAGAAAAACATACAGGTGTTGGAGGAGGAGGGGGAGGAAGGGAATGAGAAGAGGTGCAGAAACATCTTTACAATAAATTAGAGTTTGCTAAGTCATCAGGGAAAGCTGTGATTTATATCCGATGTTTGAGGTTTTATTCTTTCTTTTTTCTTTAAACCACCATCATGAATGAATAGTGAATAGCAACATATAAAAGTATGATTGTTAGTAGCATTAATCAGGAAAATAAATTAAATATATATATATATATGTGTGTATCTGTCTCTCAAGAAACAGAATATCTCAAAATTTGCTTTGATTGTGAAATTACAAATATGAGCATTTTGAAGCCAGCAGCTCTAGTTCGTCTCCAACTCCCTTGACATTGTCCCCCAGAACAGGACATGTCAGGACATCCTAAATGAGGCTTTCGGATTCCAAGTATCTTTTAAAATTCTCAGTGCCTCTTTTGATTATGTGCCCCGGAGGCTGGCTGGAGATAAGCGGAGACAACAGGTGAAGGTGTAACAGTGAAGACAGAGAAGAAGCAACGCAGCGCTTTTATGATTCTGCAGGAAGCCGAGCTTATTAGATGCGTGATCAGCACTTTAATGACTTTAATGTTCTCTCCTCAGCGTTGTGGCTACGGTATCCTGTTGCACTCATGCATAGGCTGTCATGCATACATTTCTGAGGTTGGAAAAACACGACAGAACGACAATTTATAATTAAAACGTTTACATATAACATCTTTTATTCAACGAGTGCCTTAGAAATCCCTAAAACTTGGAGTAAACAACAGTCAGAACAGCACAGTTAGATTGGTAATATAATCCCCAAGAACAAAATGTATATTAGGTTGTTTTCTGATGCTCATCCCCAAAACACACTGTTGATTTTGTGTCTCTTGAAGAACATCTGCTTTCAGAAAGTGGCTCACAATACAAGTAGAGAGAAATTAGGAACACAACTCAGCCATTGTTCTCATGCGCCCTGGGTTTGAGAAGACTTCCACACATTCACACACACACACACACACACACACACACACATTGCCTTGAGGCAAGGAAGGCCAGTGACATCAAGTGTATTCAATTCACAAGGAGGCATGTTGAGGAAACTTGAGTCGCGGTCTGGGAAGGCGCTTTGGAGGTCTCTTACCTCCACCGCAGTCGCCGGTGCTTGAATAATCGCAAGTGCTATCTTTGCCTGTAACTTCATTAACTGAATGTGGGGAAACATCCCTTGAAATAACAAAGTCACAGCTCTGACGCTAAAGGTTTAGACCACACATGTCCACGTACTGTGCAGCAGATACATGTTAGAATGGATGACCTGAAATTAACACGAGGATAACACGTTTTTTAGCGCTCAGTATAAAACAAACAATACTCTAAAGGCATGGGGAGCGTAATAATAAAAGAGCAAATAATCACTGAGGAGTTATTCAAAATACAAACATACTGCTTGTGTTCCTCTTGAATAAATACATTTCAAAAATACATATATTTTTATCTTTTCATATTCTTTTTGCTAGAAAATTTGAAAGCAGCTATGTATGTTTAAAATATGGCATTAAATCACTCAGTAAGAGCTTTTATCAAAAGCCCCTGAACACATCTTCTTAAAGAAGCACTGCATATCATAGTTCTCTCTCACAGCCGAGGACTTCAGAGTTAAAAAAAAAAAAAAAAGAAAAGAAGGAAGAACCGTTTCTTCAGATAGTGCAGGGAGACATGACGAAAATCCCTCAACAACTCAATCATCTTTTCTCAGATGAAAACATCTCCATGATTGTGGATTAGAGGCAGCTCTGATGATGAAAAACGCAACAGTGAAAGATTGCATATCTGGGGTGCCACTGAGGAGAGATTGGACCGTCCTCTCTCCTGTAACAGCCACATATTGCTTAGGGTTAGCGGCGAGGCCGTATTTCTGCGACAGAGTAATGAGGACACTGTCGGGGAGGAAACTTTTTGACAACTAAGTCGGAACATCTCTGAGTAAAAGTCGGAAAGTTCACAGGGTAAAGTCCAAAAGTTTGTAATATTTCAATAATTATGGTGTTGT